TGGCTTCCACCTCTCCCCTGCCAGCCTCACAATGTCCAAGGAAAAGGTCCAGACCATCTGCAACTGGCCCAAGCCTTGCAAGGTCAAGGACATACAATCTTTCCTCAGCTTCACCAACTTTTACCACCACTTTATATTCAACTACTTGGACATCATCATACCACTGACTTGGCTTACCTGCAAGGGTGCTCCTTGGAACTTCTCTGAGGAGTGCCACCAGTCATTCAATAACCTTAAGGCCACCTTCACCACTGTGCCAGTCTTAAGTCATTTCATCCCTGGGGTTCCCATCACCATTGAGACCAATGCATCAGACTATGCCATTGCTGGCATTCTGTCTATCACTTGCAGTGATGGCCAGATACATCTGGTTGCCTTCTACTCCTGGACTCTGACCACCCCAGAGTTGAATTATGATACTCATGACAAGGAATTGCCTGCTATTTCAAAGCATTCCAGACCTGGCACCATTACCTTGAGGGTTCAGCCTCACCAGTTGATGTTGTCACCAACCACAAGAACCTCAAGTACTTCTCTACCTCTAAAGTACTCACCCACTGCCAAGCTTGCTGGTTGGAATTCCTGTCTCAGTTCAATATGATCATCAGATTCAGGCCCAGTAAGCTCAGGGCTAAGCCCAATGCCCTAACTAGACAATGGGATGTCTACCCCAAAGAGGGGGATAGCAGCTATGCCCAAGTGAACCCACAGAACCTGAGACCAGTCTTCACCCAGGAGCAACTAGCGGTCTCCCTCTGCACTACTTATCTTGAGTACCTGGTCTTATGAGCAGTTGTGTTGGTGGATGTAGAGGAACTACACAATGATATCCTGGCCACACTGCCAGACAACCCAGTCTCACAAATCTGCCTGTCTGACATGTCTGACCCCTGGTGGTCAGTAGATGACACTGGCTTCCTTCAGCTTGATGGAAGGATCCATGCAGCCACTTCGGCCAAAACCAAACTCTAGAGCTCATCTGGTGTGAGTATACCTGGCCTGGCCTCAGGACCTTTGTCAAAGACTACATCCAGTCTTGCATGGCCTGCACTCAGGCTAAGGTCCCCCACATTGGCCTTATGGCCTCCTCAAACAACTCCCAGTGCTGGAGAAGCCATGGAATTCCATCTTGATGGATTTTATTGAGCAACTCCCAGCCTCATCCAGCTTCACAGCCATCCTCATAGTAGTTGACCAGCTTTCCAAGCAGGCCATCTTCATCCCCACCCATGACACCATCATGGCCCCAGAACTCACCAAACTCTTCCTACTCCATGTCTTTTTGAAGCATGGAGTGCCAGCCCATGTAACCTCAGACTGAGGCCTGGAGTTTGTATCCCATTTCTTTTGGTTGCTCAGTAAGGCCTTGGTTATGCACTTGCACTTCACTTTGGGCTACCACCCTGAAGGTGATGGCCAGACTGAATGGACCAACCAGGCTCTTGAACAATACCTCCAAGTGTACTGCAACTACCAGCAGGACAACTGGGCTGACCTCTTACCTTTGGCTGAGTTCGCTTACAATAATGCCCCTAGTGCTACTACTGGTGTCTCACCATTCTTCACTAATAAGGGCTACCACCCTAACATCTCAGTGTACCCTGAGCACAATCTTACCTCCACTTGGGCTTGCAATTATGCAGTCAACTTAGACTCACTGCACCAGTACCTACATGAGGAGATGACCCTCACACAACAGCACTATCAAGAACCAGCCAATGCTAAATGCATGCTGGCCCCAGACTTCAAGGACAGTGACCAAGTGTATGTCAAAGCCAAATACTTCTGGTCAACCTGGCCTTCCAAGAAACTCTCAGAGAAGAACCTTGGACCATATCCAGTCATAGCTCAGGCTGGTACCCATTCATTCACACTGTGCCTGCTGGACTCAATGCACACAGTACATCCAGTCTTCCATGTCTCCCAACTTGAGCTGGCCATCCTTAACACCATCCTGAACTGGACTCAACCACCACCCCCACCAGTCAAAGTCAACAGTGAACTAGAGTTCGAGGTAGCAGAAATCCTCAACTCCAAGGTCAACCAGTGTTGCTGGTGTTGGCTTCAGTACCTAGTCTGGTGGACTGGCTATGAGGGGACTGACAAAGAAACCACTTGGGTACTCACTATGGAGCTGGACAATGTGTCTGAACTTGTACAAGAATTTCACTCCAGCTATCCTAGTAAACCCAGCCCATTCCAATGAGGACTGGCTTCAGCCAGCCTCAGTTCTCTTTTCTGTTCTCTCCTGGTATCTAGTCTCCTTTGTCCTCTTACTTACCTTGTTTGTTTTTCTTCTTTGTTCCTCTTACTTTACTGTATGAGACCAGACACCAAACTTGACATTTTCAGAAGAAGGGAAGAAGAAAAGGTGCTAGGCTATGGTCTACTTGGCCTTGGCCATGGCCTCCTCCTCCTCCTCGGTCTCCTCTTCCCCACCCTCATCATTGGCCCTTAACCATTTGGCCTCCTCACACAACTCATCAGAGTCAAGCTCAGATGAACCTGAGTCTGATGGTGTGGCCAACACCCCATACTTGTAGGACTTGTCAAGGAGGGCCTTGAGAGCATCAGCAATGTGGCCTGAATTTTCATTCGTGGCCTCCTGTAGGTCATAGAGGCTGGCCAAATTGTTGGCAATCAGCCCTGCAGCCTTGATCAGTCACTCAAGCTTGTCTTCCAAGCCTGAGTACCTATCTGTGCTGGCCTCCCTCAGCCCACTCTTGCCAGCCCCAGGCTCATCAAGATCCAAGACCTCAGTCAGTCTCGACTTTGCCCGCTTCTTCTGGCTTGGCCTGGGCTCAGGCACCTCTTCATCAGCCTTCTGCTTCTTGCCTTTATCAACCTTGATGGTGGCCTTGGGACTGACCTCAGTGTCCTTCCCATCTCCTGGCCACTGGCACTTGCCCTTCAACTGATTGCACCATATGCAGGCAACCCACTTCTTATTACCATCCACAAGAAACTTGCAGATGGTCTTTGCCCAGGTGCAGCAGGTACATCTAAAGGTAGACTTCAGAGAAAACACACAGGAATAGGAAAGGTTACTTACCCGGGGTCCATGACCACCTTCTTCACCTCCCCCCTGGCCTCATCACCCTTGTCAGCCCTGGCCTTGCATTTTTGCTCAGCCTCCCTTTCCTCCTCAACCTTGCATCTCTCTTCATCCTCACATGCCCTTCTCTCCTTGGCCTCCCACTCTGCCTTCTTGGCCTTCTCCCTCTCTGCTCTTTCAGCCTCAAGCTGAGCCTGCTCCTCCCACCAGGCATGTTCAGCCACCTTTTGTCTCTTCCTCTCCTTCACCTTTGCCCTCATCACCTCCTCTTTGTCATCAGTGTTGTACCTGACATCATCATCAGGGACTTGGGCCCAGTCAATGATGACTTGGCCTTCATTGTTGTTGTTGGCAGCAGTGATCAGTCTTGAGTCAGACATGATGGAGAGGATGTGAATGAAAGATGCAAAGAGCTTAGCAGGCCACAAGTATCAGTTTTTCAAACTCAGCCAAAGTTTGGACTCAGCCTACTACTCTCGCAGGAGTCTCATGGGTTCAACCCCTAAGAGGGGGATACTGTCATAGTCATGCCTCAAACCTGGTCAGACTCAGTCTCACACTCATTCAGTCTGGCCTTGGCCTCACCAGTCCCTTACCCCAGATGTCCTAGCACAGTGAACACTGCTTTGCAGTGCATGTCACTTTGGTTAAGTTCTGCCTGGCCTTGTCCCCAGTCTGCCCTGTCCTGGTCTCCATTACCTTAGTCATACCTTACTAATATTTGTCTTACCAATCACCTTAGCAATCTTTGCAAGACCAGCATTACTGGTCTCCATACTATAGTTGTCTCTGGTATATAAACTCATAGATACCTGGCCTGTACTCTTCAGTCTGAAATCAACAAAGTTACTCTGATAATCCTGCCTTGGCCTTGGACTCAGACTGAGACCCACACAAGGGAATAGTGCTGTAATCTCAGTCACTAAGTCCAATCAGTCCACCCCCCTGTATCTTCGACCCTCCTCCTGATCCTGACCCCTCAGCCTTGTGCCCTCTTTGGTCTCCAGTCCAGCCTCAACTTGGACAACCTGAACTTGACAGTGACATGGAAACATTTGCACCAATCCTGTCCATGGAGGATCTGACTCCAGTCCAACTCTGTGCAACAACCTCTAGGAATGACTACTGTGGTCCTCATGGAGTAACATTGGCTCCTAAGTGCTGGTGGGATCCAAAGTAGTAGTTGTCCTTTTGGGCCTCTGATCCAGCCATCATCATGTAACTTGACTGGTTGGCCCAGCATGGCCTCCAGATGCATGAACCCATCAACAAGCTGATTGCTGTTATGCAGTGCATGTAAGTGGTCAAACGAGAAGTAAGTAGGATTTCCCTTGATGCCTGCACTTGTGTTGAGTGAAATGAGAATACACAAAAGGTAGAAATATATACCATCTGCAGGGGGAAAAGGATGAAGTACACTGGATGGGTTGGATGTCACCAGTGTCCACTTCTCACAAACACTAGTCCTTTCTGCATGGCATTCAGCCTCCCAGACCCTCACAGTCTTGTCCTGTGAGCCTGAGACAATCCTCTCTCCATCAAGGGAGAATGCAACTGAATAAACTCTAGAAGTATGGCCCTCAAGAGGGTTGCCAATCTGCACACCTCCCTCAACATCCCAGACCAGACCCTCACAGCCATGTCCCCTGAGCCAGAAACAATCCTCTTGTCATCAGGGGAGCATGCAACTGAATTGACCACATCTCTATGGCCCTCAAGAGGACTGCCAATCTGTGCACCTCCCTCAACATCCCAGACTCTCACAGTCATGTCTCCTGAGCCTGAGACAATCCTGTTCCCATCAGGGGAGAATGCAACTGCAAAGACTGCATCTCTTTGAGGGGGACTGGACAACCAGTGAGGCAACAGACAGATAGCACAGGCAAGGGGAAGGGCAAGGAAAAGGTATGTCCTACCCTCTAGGAAACCCTGAGCACAATGGCTAATGTTCAGAAAAACTCCACAGGCCACAGACAAAGTTGATGAGCCAGAGAATGACAAAGGCAACCACCCACCCAACCCTGACCTGTCGAAAACTGGCACTCTGGCACCCAAAGCCAACCTGCCATGCAGGGAGTGCATGAAGGTTGATGCCAAGTGTGAAGGTCTTCCTAGGGAGTCATGCAAGCAATGTAGACAGGCCAAGCAGAAGTGCAGCTGGTTGCTCAGAGTGGGTAGGAAGGTGAGTACAAGCTGACTGTGACACAAAGAACAAGGGCACTGAACCATAACTCAGTGCAAGAATGCTGGAAGTGGAGAGATGGCTGCTGGGCTGTCACATAAATGGGTCAAATCAGTAACAGTAATGGTGATGACTGAAACTCCAGTGTTGACCAGGTTGAAACTTCAAATCCCTGCTTGCAAACCACCTCCCAGGCAAAATTCCAAACCATCTCCCAAGCACCCAACACCTCATGCTAGTCCCCCTTCAACCTCAAACATGCCTCCACCTCCTGCACCTTGACCACCTCTTTTCCTTCCATCAGCAACCCCTGCACCTCAACCTCACCCTGAGCCAACTCTGCCTCCAACAGACAATCTGGGAGACCTCAGCAATGGTGGACTCTTTGGCAGACCAATGGGATTATTGGACAATCCACCTGCACCTGTTGTCAACACACAGGATGGGTCCAAGGGTCCCCCAGTCAAAGAAACTCCACTGGTTGCAAACCTGAGTGAATCAACTATGTGCGAGGCTCTTGCTGAGTGCATCCAACTGTTGGAGGGCAGGGTGGATGATGAGGAGTTTGAGTTGACCCAGATCCACCAGATGCTGGGACTGTTGGTGATGCGAGTAGAGCGACAGATTGGTGCAGTTCAGGGGAGATGTGAGGAGCTGAAGAGGTTGAAGGATCAGCTCAAAGATATGTAGGTACATGTACAGTAGCATAAGTAGATTGCAGAATTTATTTGTTTTATTTTATTTTGTGAGTCTTTTGGTATTTTGAACAGGATTATCACTGAGAAGGGAGCAGGGAAAGAGAGTGAATCAACAAGAGACAAGAGATGAGCAGAATTTTTTTTTTGTGAGTTGTGAAGATGGTTTTGTTTCATATGAGATGAAGAGGGTAAATATATAAGCGAAAGGGAAAGTGGAGAAAGAGAGGAAAGGAAAGAAAAAGATAGTGAGAAAGGTGTGCTACTCATCTGATTTGTCCAAAGGGATGCCAGCAAGTGCAGGGTCTGGTAGCAAATCACCTTCCAAGTGATCCAAGTCACATGCAGAAATTCCAGTCAACTGTGTGACTTTGATATGAGAGTTGTTCCATGGGGAATAGGGGTAAAGATGGAAGGCAGTGAAATGGAATTTGGACATGGCACCATCTAATTCTGCCAGGATGTACAAGCCTCCTTTGGTTCACCAAATGATGATCATGGGGCCTAGGTAGTGTGGTTTGGTCTTGTGATCTAGTTCTTGCTCAATACATGAATTCCACATGAGGACAAGTGACCCAGGTTCAAAGTCAAAATCTTGGATGGTGTGTGCAAAACAAGCAATGAAGTCTTTGACTGACACAAAGCAAGACTTCAGAATGAGATCCTGGATGCAAGTGAGGTCTTCTGAACATTTCTGGAGTTGTCGAGCACAATAGGCAATGAGTTCTGTTGTTGAGTAAAATTCCACCTCAAAAGGGGCTAAGAATGTTGCCTCAGCAATGTCAAAGGGGAGTCTAGGTTCGACACCATGAGCCATATAGAATGGAGAAAACCCAGTTGCCTTGTGAATCATAACCCTCTCTGCCCAGAACACTGTAGGGGCCACTTCTGACCACTTTGATGCTTCTCCATTGCAACTCTTTACCAATGCCTCCCTCACATCGAAATGCTGATGCTCAACAACTCCATTAGCTTGTGAGTTATAAGGTGAGATTCATATATGGTGAATTCTGAAGGTCTTGGAGAGCCAATCGAGGGTGAGGACATAGGGACCACCATTATCTGTGATGATTTCTGCAACAGCACCCCAGCAGCACAAGATCTGCTTGAAGATGAATTTTCTGATGGTCTTTCCAGTTTCTGCATGAAGCATAGCCCACTCTGGATAACTAGTGAGTGAACAGCAAGCTTGGGTGACATAGTAAAATCCATCTGACTTCAGCATTAAGAACGTGTCCATATATGCTTTAAAGAATAGGGGCTCAGGGATGGTGACGACTGGCAGAATATGTATGTGATCCAAACAGTGTATTTGGCACTTGTGACACAACTTGACATACCAGCAAACATCCTGCTCTAGCATAGGCCACCAGAAATGAGTCAGCAAATGCATGTGGGTCGAGTAGATACCCTTGTGTCCTAGCTCATCATGAGCCTGACAAAGGATCCCAAGTTGTTTGTGAGGGGTGACTACTAGTTGGTGATGTCCTTGAGGGTCTTTTCTCCACAGCTCTCCTCCTTTGATGAAATACTGAGTGGTGAGATGCACCAGGCTTTCCAACTCCCCTTCTTCCAATCCTTCTGGTATCTTCTTCATCTCCAAAAATTCCTTCACCACTTTCAACTGCTCCTCTCTCTGGATCACTTTCTCTGAGTGCAGAATTTCTGTCTCATAGACACTCAGCAAGGTTTGTTCAGAGGAATAGATGCCTAGACTCTGTGACAAGACCAAAGGTGAGTCTGACAAGGTACTTGGAATTTCTGAAGGGTAAGGCTGAGGACTCGAAATGGGCCTCCCTATGGTTCAAGAGCTTGACAATGAAGGCTCCATACTCATCTATCCAGTCCTCATAGTCCTCTTCCCCGTCCTCATCTTCTTCTGCTTTCAGTCTCCTTGAAAGACCATCTGGCACCACATGCTTGTGTGCAGGGACATGTATGAGCTCAAAGTCAAATAAAAGAATTCCTGCAATCCAGCAGTTGATGGTAGCATTGGGCTGTAAGTTGGGATTGTTAATCATCCCCTTTATATATTGTGTGTCAACCTCAACAACTAAATTCTGCATGCTGAAAATGTGAAGTCTGATGTCATGTAAAGCATGGAAAAGACCAAAGAGCTCCAGTTTGGCTTGGCTGTAATGGCATTCACAGTCATTGAGAGTTATTGAGCTGAACCTTGCAGGGTAGTGTTTTTCATCTTCCCCCTCCTGCATGAGGAGGTATCCTATAGTGATATTCAAAGTGTTGACTGCCAGGATGACCTTCCTATTGGAGTTGTAGTTGATAGTGCATATCACAGGGGATGAGACAATAGCTTGGTAAAGATAATCCATGGCTTCTCTGTGTTCATTGCAGAATTTGAAGGAGACATCATTCTTGGTCAGCTCAATGAGGGGACATGCATGCTTAGCAAAATCCTTGATAAAGATCCTGCAATATGAGCAAAGACCTAAAAATCTGCACACTTTGGTGACATTAGTGCAGTAGGGCCAATCTTTAATTCTCTGGACTTTAGCTTCATCCAGAATTCTCCCCTTGAATGACACTTTATGACCAACTGCTATGATAGATGGCATGGTGATGATGCATTTCTTTGCTGAGACAGTAGCTCCTGAATGACACAGACGATGTAAGATGTGGTTGACATTCTGTAGATGTTCCCAGATGAAGTGTCTGATCCCAGAGTTTTGTGTGATCATCTGGTAGATACCATTGGGATTTTGGTAATGAGATTTTGGACCCTTGATTGGGCAATCATTGATGAAAGGGATGGATACTTCAGGGATTTTGTCCTTCAATATCCAACAGATGTCTCTGTGGAAAATCTGGATGGCATTCATGTAGCCCATAGGTAACTTAGTGAGTTGTAGAGTAACAATAGGAGTTTGGAAGTTAGTGAGGTCATGGTAATTGTTGTGTATGGTGTGATGATTGTATCCAACCATAAGATCCAAAATTCCATAGACAGAATGGCAAGCAAAGGCTTCAGCAATTGAATCAATGAAGGGGGGAATGGCTGAGTCCTGGATAGAAACAGCATTTAGAGGTTGTAAGTCATGGATGAGGCATAGAGATTTTCTGTCCTTCTTGACTACACAGAACCATTTTGAGCAATAGGATGAGGTAGACAGTTCATAAACCCCTGTGGAAATCTTTTCTTTGATGATGTTAATGACTTCACAGAAAATAGCAGGGGGAATGGGAATATTTCACTTGACCCAGGGTTTGTGGGCTAGTGTAGGTATCTTCAGGGGTGGGAACATGTCCTCTCAAAAGGTCCCTCTTTCCACAGCATCCCAAGCAAAGGCAGTCTCATGTGTCTTGACCAGCCATTGTACCAGATTTAACTCCATGGGCCAGAGGAACTTTGAAGGGTCCAAGTTGAGCTCATCAGCCCTTTCCTGGGTGAACCTGGAGCCTGGCATGAATGGAGGAGGATGAGTAGGTAACACAGGTAGGTCTGTGAGAGGATCTCCAGCCTCCCAATGCTCTACCCAGAATTCCATGGGCATTGACATCAGTACAGGGGGAGAGTGGAGAACAGTAGATTATACTGTAGCTGTCACAATCTTGGAAGAATGATGGATGAGACTGGTATGAAGACATTGCAGGGAGCAGGGAGGAAGGATCCATATGCTTCTTGGACCAGAGAGACTGAAACAACCACATAAGACCTTTCCAAGCGAATGATAGACCTGAGGCAACCAAAGAATGTCCTCCTAGAGGTCATACTGACAAAAAGAACATGCTGTCCAAGCTGGATGGGCTGAGAGGGCACAGACAAGGGTGGGATGTACCAGGATGCTTCAGGACAGAAGCTGGTAGGAACTCCTGGTAGATATATGTAGCCATGGTCCCTAGCAAAGGGGACAAGCAAAATGATTGATGTAGAGGCAGCCATATCAGAAGAATTTAGTGAAATGAGCATCTTTTGGAGGGAGTGCTGTGGAAACATGTGGAGTGCACAAATCCCTTCCAATTCTGGAAGGTAAGATCACATGGCTGGGCACTACAAGCGAGTATGGGAATGGTCTCTGTATCTGCAGAAATGGCAGAGGTGTGTCAAAAACCAGAATGCCATACATGGGTGCTTAAGAATTTTAGCCAGTGCTTAACTCACTCCCTTTCTTTTTCTCTGGCACTGATGACTTGTCCTTGTGCAAGGGATGACTGCCAACATTTCTGGCTGTCCTTCTTTGCATTAGGGCTATGGTCTTCATCTCCATTCATCAGCTGTATCCATGTCTACCTCACCAAACACCTTTGGTGTGTGACAATGTAAGGCTGAAATTGTCAGTGGCGAAACAGTAGTGCTAGTAGAAAATAAGAAGGGGTCATTTGAAGATATGGAACTAGAATCAAATGGGTCAATTGGGGGCATACTGTTGCTTTGTAAATCATAGAGCAATGCTGCAGTGGAATTTTGGGTAGTATCTGTAGAGAGAAGAGAAGCTGGCTTCAAAGAACAAGGGAGAATCAGAAATGTAGAGCGAACACATAGAAAAATGTTATCATGGCCTCCTTGTGATCTACACAAGTCATTGACTGACACTGAAAACCCTGCTCAGGTTGTTTCATGTGGTGATGCATCTCCTTGTGTACAAAGTAGTCTTCTTCATCTTTGGAATTTACAAACCATGGAAGAGGCTGTAGTCTGTTTTGAGGGTGTGTCAGAATTAATACCTGTCTTCCTGTGTTAGGGTCATGAATCTCCAGGGACTGTTCTCTGTCAGGGAAATCTTGTAGGATGCTGGAGAGCAGACAGAAGAAGGGTCACCCAAGAAGTAGATCAAATGGAGTGTGATTGATGACCTGAATTTGGAGGTGCACTTTGATATTCCCTATGTGCAAGGACACATTCTCTATGACACCTAGAGTACTCTCTTTGGATTGGTTAGTGGCTTCAAGCATCATGCTCATGTCAGAATGAAGAGGAGCCCCTAAGGCCTCCCATAGTTCATGATGCAAGGCTACCACCTGACACCCACTGTCCAG